TATTCCCCATGCGTTCGAAAAAGATATTTGGGAGCGTTCATCCAACTGCTGGAATGACCCTTCACTCCTTTACCGCTTGTATCTGGATCAAGGTGACTGAGGCTTTGGACAAAACTATTGTCTTCTCTTACGGAACCAAGTTAAACCCATACGAAATCCAGCTTTATCTCAGCCGGGAGTCTGCAGTGCTTGTTGTTGGTGGTGACCAGCACAAGTTAGCTGTCAAAAACGTAGTTGTTCCTGGGAAGTGGATCCATGTCTGCGGTGCCTGGAGCTCGGAGAACGGCTCCGCGTCCCTGTGGGTGAAGGGAGAGCTCGCGGGCACCGCCGTGGACGTTGCCGATGCTCACACCGTGCCCGACGGAGGGATTTTGCAGATCGGACAAGAAAAGAATGGCTGCTGCATTGGAGGGGGATTTGATGAAGCGTTAGCCTTCTCTGGAAAATTAACTGGCTTTAACATGTGGGACAGAGTGCTCAGTGCCAAAGAGATAGCAGCGCAGAGTGGGGAAGGCGCGTGCAGTATCAGGGGCAACATCATCGGGTGGGGAGTCACAGAAGTTTTGCCGTACGGAGGAGCCCAGTACGTTTCTTAAATTCTGGCAAAGCAGTTTCTGAAGCAGAGAACGTATTTCATGAAGAGCTGAACACCAATACGTACAAGCAAACAGAGCTGTAGGAGCCCGCGTGTCTCGAATTCCCAAGGAAGATTAGTATTGAAAGTTTACAAAATTAGGTATTGTGGGGATGGGATTTGATCCCTGCCTGCTGCTTTGGCAAAACATGGGAAAAAAAAACCCCAACCCAAATTTATCAAAGTGTGATATTGGAAAAGCTGTTCCCGAGGTCAGAGGACTGCTGTCTCCCTAGCACAGTGCCTTCTGACGTATGAAAGCGTGTGCCACCGCGGACTTTTCGGAGGTGGATGGTGCCCCGGCTGAGCCGTCTCTGCAGAGCGGACACAAGGCTGCACATCTGCCAGGCTCCTCCAGCCATCAGCTTCTGTAGTGCTGATGGGAATTGTACAGAGGAGCCACATAAACCAAGAAATGTGTTGTTTATTAATCGCTGTTAGTAATTTGTAGACTATAACAAAACTAGCTCCTCGTTTAAAGCATTATTTATGCCACGGATTGACCTAACATATAAAAGTAATATCCCTCATCATAATCTGATGTTACATTTGGAGAAAACACAGCTGTATTATATTGTAAATTGACTTTGTAATAATTTTATTGAAATTATTTTTGTAAAGTTGTTCTGTAAATAAAGATACTTTACTAAACTAAAACTTTCCACACTTCTCATGAATAGAAACTCTGAAAGTAAATACCAGTTGGGAATTTTTCCATGTTTTGAACCATGCAGGTTTAGGGGCTGATAGAAAGAGAACAGGAATATCAATATCTCATACAGATGGGGAAACCCTCTGAGGACCAAAATCCAAGCATCAGCCAACTTTCAAGGCCTGTCATGACCACAGTCCCCCTTGTGAATGTGCAAGGATCTGCCATTTTAGGTGTTGTCCCACACGGACACGGTCGCTTGTACAGAAGAGATTCTCTGACATACTGACACACGTGCCTCGGCCCGAGGCTGTGCTAGCACGGCCCTCGGAGGCTGAGGGAAGGGTTGGTTTTGAGATATCCCCAAATAAAAATCAATCAGTACCCCATAATGCCAGCCCTCTGAGAAGGACATAGGCAGTTTTGATAGATAGTTTAGATATCCAAAGTAACCAACTAGTTTGATGACAACAGGGGGTTTGTACAAGGCAGAATTGATGAATATGCAGTGGCAGCAGCTTTGTTCTCTCACATTCACAAATTTATCCAAATTCCAGTAAAAACATAGGGCTGGCTGCAGTGCATAAGAGGCAGATGCAGAGAGCCAAGGCGCTGGTGGCGATTTGCGTGTAGAAAACCGAGCAGGAGTAGACAATGATGAATAGTTACTCGCTGGATATGTAATCATTTACGACAAGAACAATTATTCACTACCTGTTGAAGCCTCCGAACAAGTTATCAAGGAGAATGTCTTATTCAAAGCAATTCTTATAACCACTGGAAGCAGCCCACCCTCTTCTGCTCTATTCACGTTTGTCTTTCTCGTTCTCTACAGATGTCTTAAGAACACACTTTGAAAAGTTTCTTGCCACGTTGCTGCTATGCTTATTCCTGAATGACACAGCTACCAGATCCTTCCTTCCACAACACAAAAGTAGTAAGAAAAAGCTATGACAAGGTAATTTCCACTTTATTATGTCACTCAAGGGGGTTCTGCTTCATAACTAGAGTTACATGACCTGCTCTGAAGTTTTGGCAATGCTGTTTAAGGTAAAAAAAACCTGCTCTGATTGCTGGAATTTCTCCTATTACTCTGTAATAAAAACATAGCTAAATTTTAAATGCTTAGTAGTAAGGATGACAAAAATCCCTTACTAAATAATATCTGCAAATAACCTTAATTACAGAACAATGAAAGATTACCTCCATTTGTCTGCTGTCAGCCAGAAAACAGATCTTCAGTTACGAAAAACACTTGAGGTCCCACCATTGTGCAAGGGCAAAACCACTCTCAAATCCTCTTACCATAGAGTGCCCTCCATTAAATGAAAACAAATGTCCACGAAACGCAGCAGGAAAAGCAAAATCCTTAAAAAGATCACCAGAAGTCCTTCCCGGCTACTTTTCTTACTGTACCTCATACCTGAAATGTTTTGTCTTGGAAGTAGCCTCTTCCTATCTCTGTTCTGGTTTGGCAGATGACCAAATGCTAAGCCAGTCCTTTTCATTCTCACTGACTCAGCTGGAAAACTCTTCGCTTTCCAACTGCTTTGCTCCTTCTTTTATCACGTCTGTGGACCAGCAAAGCTTTCCTACAGTCTAGTCCCCTCCTGTCCAGCACCACAAGTCACCTCCACCAGCTTCTTTCTTTCCCTCCTAGCTTAACTATGTTTTTCTTTGTCAGGAGTTACTTTGCCTGTTTGAAAAACACTAAGTAAATAGTCTTTTGGGGGAGTTTGGGCTCCAAATATGGAAAAGCCAACGCAACCCTGCTGTTGCCCCGCAAACATAAAACTGAAGGCGCAAGCGCAAGGCGCACGGAACTGGAGTACGTTGCTGAGCCCAGTTCTGCTCTCAAACAAGCCTCTGCTGCAAGCAGCATCCACACCCCTTGCCTGAGCAGCTCTGGAAGGTGGAGCAGCCATGGGACGCTCAGATTGCAGCAACGACTGCAGGGGAGTTTTGCTGCTGTGCCCTGGAAACAGGAATAAATGTGCCCAAGCCCTTACGCTGCTGGAAGGTGTCAGCACAGAGCCTGTCAGCATCGTGGGCACAGTGAGACATTTGCATGTTTAGAAGCTGAGTTCACACAAACTGGAACAGAGTAGTTAAACACTCTTTCTAAAGAGCTCTTTTGTAGCTAATAAGATAAGAAACTGATTATGCAGCCAAACAGTTGCCCCAAGTCATCCAAAAATCCAGTTAGCTCTCAAACACTCGCAGACAACGGGCCAAAGTCTACTATCAGTCTCCCTGGTGCCATGAGGCTGAGCCCTGTCTGTGCAGCACCCAAACAAGGCCCTTTGTCTCCACGCTGCTGGGTAAATTCACCCCGAGCTGCTTATCCTCCCGCTTCCCTTCTCCCTTCAGCAAACAGTCCCTAAGTGCGGTTCTTAGCCTGCAGCAACCCAACCTTTTCACGCCCCAAATATAAGTTACCTACAGTGCATTTAACTCACTACGCAAAACAAAGCACTTCGCCTATTCAGAGTGCCCTCTTCCAGTCTGGAATTTCCAAACCTGATGTCCACAGCAACATCTGCTGGTAGAATAACATAAATACACAAAACCGAGCAGGCGCAGGCATGATGAAACCTTCAGCTGTAGGCATCACTTTTCTCAAACCTAAGACAATGCCATAAAACCTGTTGTGCTCTATTTCTTTCTATTAACAGCACCGAGTTACAAGTGGTAATGCACAATATTAACATATAAATACTAATGTCACAAGCCTTAAAAGAATTCTCCATCTGGCTTTAAGCTGTTAGCAATATTCTGTTCTTGGACTCTACTCAATTAGTATTATCACACAGCTCCTACATATTTATTATGTTTATCACATATTCATCCTTAAACAAAGTGGACAGAAATATTCAAACTATCATGACGTCGTAAGGACCAAATTACTTTCTAGCTTAGCTATCCCTCCATAATAGACTCCATTTATATTTTTAAGTAAATACAGAACGCACACACTTAATTTGAGGGCTTAACATCTTCATAACAATGTCCTTGGAATAAGTAGACAGCAGTTATTACTTATTGCTTACCCATACTCAAAGAAAAAACAAACTGATTTTACTACTGCAGTGGCACTATAGTAAAATAAAAATCATGAACTTCACTACTTCGACTAAATTGGACCTCCTTGCGTAGAGGTATGAATATTTTGGCTTTTTAAACCACAAAAGGAAAGTGTACAGAGGTTAGCAACAATATTCCATGTAAAGCTAATAACGTAAGCAAAATTAAAGAACCACTACAAAGCTTTTATAGCTTACGTCTATTTTGCCACAGAATGGGATTCATTTCATCCCCATTTATATTTTGGAGTATTGCCAAAGACACTAATAGAAAGGATAAGAGCCCAGTAACTAGTGTCTCATATCAGGGCTTACCATTTGAAGTCCATTAGTAGGGTACGCTAACAAGTACAGATGTATTTCCTGCCCTGCGGGTCACCCGATCTATAATGACACTTCCATAGTCAACAAGGCTCAGTAAATCACCTATTCGTGATATAGTCCGGTGTTAGATTGTGTCTACCATGTTTTATCACACGTTTATAGATACGTCCATATGTCTGCTTTCTACGTCCACGCCTCACACGTGTTTTTACGTATAACTTGTTTGGTTTTATGCCTAGTACAGCCTCAGTAATCTAACGGTGGGCACGCCGCAGGACGACATCCAAAAATCTCAGTGCATTCATACCTTGGAGGACACTTCTGACAATGGTGTCTGTGTGATCAGCCAGCAGATCTGCTTTAGCAATTGCAGCCAAGGAGAGATAACTTGACATATTTCTGCACAGCTCCTTATTGCCTCTCTGAAGAAACTTCACTGCCACTGGAACAGCTAAGGCCATTACTGGAGGTCGATTGTAATTCTGTAAAAAACACAAACGAGCATTGAAAAATAAGCAGCCGAAAAAAAAAAAAGATGATTAAAATAAGCCTCATGCTGATCAGAGTAGAAAAAAACCAAAAATCAAAACAACAGGGGGAAAAAAAGAAAAAAAACATCAAAAAAGGTTATGTTTTGGTAACACCACTGAAGGCAGACTTCAAAGAAAGAGCAAGTAAGGAAATTTAAAACCACTGCACCAGGAGATGCCAATAACACACCTATTTTTGTCTTCTGCAAGAGGAGGAAAAAAGCATGATACGAAGTGCACTAGTTAAATGTTAACTGCTGTCACATTTTTAACAAGACATTTTGTGCTTGGTGCTCTCTGACAGCAGAAGCTGTATCCATCCTCCACACAGAGTAGGTAATTTTCATCCCAAAGCGTAGGAAGCACCTTGGAGCTGGGAAACGTTGCTTGGTTGACTGGTAAATGTTGCTCCCTGCAATAAGGGAGTTGTTGCTGCCTTCTGCTCTGGCGTCACGGTGACCTGCTCCTCGCCAATGCCCAGCCCCAAGCAGGGCAGCCAGGTGTGCAGGCACAGTCAAGGCTCAGGGAAGCCATTTCAAGCCTGGATAAATCCTTCCCCAGCACAAGTCAGAGCTTCCCTCACCTAAATTACACTGAGATTCGACCTATCTTAGTGCTGGCAAAAACCACATGAAGAAAGGATTCCTTGCTTCCCAGAACAGGATTTCATGCTAAGCCACTGGGACTAAATCAAAGGCAAACTGGTACATGTAAGTCAGCATACGGGGAGAAGTGCTCGCAGGGCCATAGCTTTAGTACTGATCATCAATTGCCCTGAAATAATTAAGTTTTCCTTTTCTAAACTCCAGCCAACTTCTCTGAACACAGGAAGTTTTGGGTTAAGAAAACTTTTTCAGAACCACTAACTCCTGTTTTCAAAACGGCACCGAGCTGCAGCAACCTCAGGAGTATCTGCACATCCACTTAGACTTTGACACGAAGGTCAGAAAAGGTTTTCTACAAATATTTCTGTACAGAAATTGTGTGCACAAACGATACACATCTATTGCCCATTAAGTTCCCATATGTAACTGCCCTTGAAACTAGTAGGATATGTTTATGTGTAACTGAGGACCTACATCCTCTCTGGAGCCTCCTTAATCAGTGCTTTTCTCTCCTCTTCACCCAGTTTTTAAGCATCTCTTTGAAACCAGACATTGTTTTTAAAAATAATCCTGCAGTGAGATTATATTTAATTAGCACCTGAAATCACAGGCAACCACCGAAACCCAGATGTTTCAGAAAACAACAAAACAGTGCTAAGGCAGGCAGTCCAGAGTTAACACATGCTCATTCTGGAGCAGCGTTGAAAAAATAAATTTAGCCCCAAGAAAAAACAAATCTGTTATTCCATATACCCTGCTACGTTGCCTCCCAGGCCAGCTCTGCCTCCACCAACAGTAACGGAGAGCAGGACCGACCCGAATTAAGGCTGCGTTGTGCTACTCAACCCACACAAAAGAGCCGAGTTTAAGTGGCTATGAGGATTTTTTTTTTTTTTTTCTTGCAACAGAGACCTGCCAAGCAGCGGAGTGCTGCAGCCACTCCGGGACAGTCCCCTTCTGCCAGCCCCTAGGGAAGAAGCACCCGCAGCAACTCCTGGCTGTCAAGACAGCTTATCGTGACAACTGCTGTATGGCCAAAAATTGCGTCTTATTTAATGAGAAAAGCTCTTAAAGTGAATAGAGCTTTATGCAGCAGCATGTTTAAATCTACATAATGCCTCATTATATTTGGCTGAGAGGCACTAGTGAGTAGGAGCCAAAGTCTGCCTCCAAGTTATACTCTAGGACTCCATGAAAAAAAAATGGGAAGGTAAGGTTTGGCCCTCTGACTATGAGTTAAAAGACCTAAGAAAATCCCAACTTTTTTTTTTTTTTTTCCTGTAAGAAAGATAAAATAGTCAAGAAAAGGTTTGAATTCAGATAGAAAGAGAAAGGTTTCATTTGTTACATTATAAACATCAGGGCATGAATGCACACTTATGAAAACGAGAAGGTGACAATGAAAAACAGATTTCAATAATATGATATAGTGATGTTTGCAAACCTAGGGGACCTCCCTGCTGCTAATATCAACAGAAACACGCTGTGAGATTCAACCCAGCTGTCAGATATTCATTACTACTTCAGCTATGCCTCACGTATTGTATAAAAACTCATTTTATGCCTTCTTTTTTTTATGCAAAGGAACTCGCTGATAATAGCTCTGTTTCGGGGAGCGGTAAATGTACTGTTACAACTTTCTCATTGCATTTCAATGAGCTCCTTTCTTGAAATCATCTGCAACACAGCACAATCCCCAAAACATTTGGATACGAGCTCACTTGATTTATGCACACAGTTGACAACAGCACAAACTGAAAGCTTAGACAAGCCATTGCATATTTTAGTATTCTCATAAAATATGATTTCTAGTACTGCAAAGACAAAATATGATTTTACAACGTACAGTCTCTCATCTGGAAAGTTTAAGCTGTGCTGCTACTGGTACCCAAATCCAGTTACTGTTTTACCTCCAGGGACACCTGACAGACAGAGATGAGGCAGCACCTCCAGGAACACGTTGCCCAGCAGAAAGCGTGGTCCTGCGCAGAGAAAGGCGGAGGGGACACCACCCCCGATCCGCCACGGGCCTTCCCAGGACGCGTCCCTGCGCCCCGCGCTGGGGTCCAGCCCACGGATCACGGCACGGGGGGACCAGTGCAGGGCAGAAGAAATCTTGCTAAGCCTCATCCACAGTCTTGACTAAATGTCTGGCTAGAAGAAATCAGCTTCCCAAACCAAAATCAATATGAACCTGGGCTTCAGAAAAGGAGATTTTTTTCCCTTCTTTTAGTATTTTACTACAATACACTTTTTGGTGCATCTTCAGAGTGACAGACTAGGAGTAAACACACTAAAGGATTGTAAAGTAAAGTTTCATTGAAGTCAATATAGCATTGATGTTATTTTCTCCTGAAACTGGGTTTTTTTGGACTTTAAACACTTTCAGCCAAACTCAGTGAGGAACCTCAATAAGTTTATGGAACAATATAACCTACAAGGGGCCAAGCAGTACCTTTCATGAGACAGTGACATACTTGTGCCGCTATCATTTGAATTTTTAGAATGAAAGAAAAAAAAAAAAACCAAACCCCACACCTGATTTAAGAGGCAGAGGTAATGAAAGCAACAACGAAACAGCAGATGTACTGCACACAGAGTAGTCTGTATAGAGAGGCACTTCCTGGCAACTGTTCCTCCATCTGACATGGAGCTGGTCCCCATGAATTGTACCCACAGCTGAAACGCTGGAAAAAAAACTGGTTTCTGCTTCCAGTTAGATAACTGTGTACATCGGTTTCTCTGCGGGTCGCTCCAGTGTATTATATTCCTTTTATTCCAACAAGGAATGGCATTGCCTGCAGTCCCAGCTAAAAAAATAAGAAAGCCACAAACAAGCTAACCCAAACAAACCCCTCAAACTCACCCTGATTTAATACCAAATTCCCCCTTACCCTCTCACTTTAAGTGGCTTTCCACCCTCAGCTTACTTAAAAAGCCTTGAAATAGCCCATTCCTATCCCCAAAAGGCTGCCATATACTCAAACGTCATCTTTTTTGTCTTGCATTCACAGGGAGCAATAGTTCATAGACTAAGTTCAAATAGGACCCAATTTCAGCTGCTCTAGCAAATGTTTTGGGGACTTAAATACCTTTGATCTTGTTGTTGCTACCTCTTAATATTTAGCAAAGCGTTCTAAGAAATTATTCCAGCACTCCTGGTCAGAGCATAACTTCTTTCTAGTCCTCTATTTAGAGTAGTAGCAATTGGATTTTAGTTCAGTTTTCTGTGTTGTACCAAGTCTCAGCTTTTATAATAAAAATGTTAAGGGAGATCCTCCTTACCGACAGCATATCTAGTGACCTCAATTTCATATCATTAAAATCTCTTCGGCATTTTGCTGTCTTCCAGAACAATTAGAACAAATAACCTCTTCCCTGTTATTAAGTACTTACAAATGAATTTTTTCTGTACTCACAGACAGTCCTACATCTCCCACTTTAATGCTTAGCTGAAATGCAAATACTGAGAATTAATGGAGAATTAGTGAAATCTGGCACTAAACAGTCAAGACACTTCTAAAAATAAGGAAGCTGCCAAAACTTTTGATTCACTGCAGTGGATGCCATATACGTGTAACAGTCTACATTAACATTTGGGGTTGTATTTTTAGTTTTAAACAAATGCAGCCACTCCCATGCACCCTCAGAAAACACACAAGTGCACTTTAAAAGATAAAGCTGAAGAGCCAACAAATGCATTCCACTCCCTTGCTTTCAGCTCAGTCTTACCTGTAAGATGCAGCTCATGATATCAGATGCAATTTTTGCATGTGGTGTGTCCTCATCTTTTCCAGAAGGCTTGAGGTTGTGCTCAAGACATGACTCCCAGAGTGCCACGAGGGCCTTCCCGTGTTTTTCTATGGACGCCGTCTCCCTCATGGCCGTGGTGATGCGAGTGATGCAGATTTCCACCACAGCCTGGTCGTTGTCATTGGTCTGGTAGTCCTGGTTCAAACAAAAAAGGTATTTGCCAAAGAAGGCCCAACCTTTTCAAGGACCCCACAAAATTAGCCTGAAGACACATAGTCTTCGTAACTGCCCAGTGTCTATTTTCTCATTTCTGCCTTTACAATGAACATTTAGTGTGATTAAACACAGAAATTAGTCTTCCCATAGACAAATCACCGTCTTAGGTCTTAATTCTCATTATTGTAAAGGTATGGATTACGTTATCAATTTTTGTTTTGGTAGTCTGTCTTGAAGCACAGCCTCCTTACCCAGGGAATGCAACCACACACCTTAGAACCACTCACACAGGCCTCTTCTCCCATCACCCTCCTAAAACTGAAACTGGAATCGTTATATCCACAATACATATACCCAAATGCAGGGTCCCAAATATTTCACGTCTTGTCAAGTCCCTGATGTAAACACAGTTAGTTTCAATTAGTATCAACGTAACATAAATAAAAGTTAATTAAATAGGCTTTATCACAAAATCCTGTAATCCCCCATAATCACTGACACGGATGCCATGTGGGTGTGAAGTGGCAGCAAAAAGCTGCGTAAGACACAGTCACCGTCCCTCAGTCCCCTATGCTGTTCCACCCTAAAAAGTAATGAAGATAAAAGACAGGCTGAAGTATTAATCAAGTCATTGGTTTTGCCAGACAAAGCATGATGATTTTTAAAGGGCTGGAGCCAAGTTCAGCACTAGTTTGCAGAGGCTCCAGTCAGCTCGGGGGTGCAACTCTATCACAGGCTGAGGCCGTGATGTTTGGGTCTGTCTCAATGCAATTCTCTGCCTTTACTCACTGCTAGCCCTCTACAAGCTTTGCTTGGTGTGACAGAAAAATCTATGCACTTAAAAAAAAAACCCACACCCCACACCCTCGTTCTGTTGTATAAGGTTACCTATTGCTAGAGGTGAACAACTCAACAGCTGCTGGCAGGGACTGCACAAGAGTGAAGCCCTGGGGAGAGTCGCGGCCGCTGGCGGACAAGGAGAGCAGAGCTGGCCTGTCCGTGCTGCTGGGAAGCTCCTCACATCTGGGGACAATCCTGTCCCTGAGGCTGCTGCTGGGACAGGCCCCGAGCTCCAAAGCCCTCTGGCAGGAATGGCCGCTCGGCAGGAGTGGATGGGCTCTGCAGGAGCTTCATACAAGTGGTGTGGGGGTAAAAACGTTTTGTGGGGAATTTCTCTCAAAAACTATATTAGTGAGAATTTGTGGAAAATCCCTGATAACCTGCAGTTAGGCGAGCTGAAGTATGTCACAAACAGCAGAGGCAATAGCCAAAATAACTTGATTAATATTCTGTAGGACTGTGCAGGTGTAATTGCTGTCAAAGAAATGACCAAAGAGCCAGGGGAAGAGGCTGTCCTGATGGAGGACTCTATTCTGGTTGCAACCAGCCACACCATGATCAATGCTCTGAAAGTCTGCACGCTGCCAAAACTGACTCCTAAAATCACATGCTATATGAAGTGCCACCAAAGGACACTTGTGAGAACACGTATGTGTTGTAACTGAACATCCTAAGGCTCAAAAAAAGCTTTGCCAATCCCTTCAGCAGACTGGAAGCAGGAAGGATGAAGGGGTTTGGGTTTCTTGGACAGCACTTTCAAAGAATTTACCAAAATCCATGAGCCTACCATCATTCCGAACACTTTCTGCTGCAAACCGAACACAACTATACATACCTGCAACCTCCTGCTAATCTTTAATATGCCTTAAATAACTAATAAAAATTATGATAAAGATGAACTTGAAATATTTTTAAAAGATATCCAGCCTGCAGGAACTGGATTTGGTTACCACTTTAAATCTTACCCTTTGCTCAGCATTCCTGGGTTTTCTAGAAACTTAAAGTACATCCCTCCCTCTAAGATTTCATTTATGAATACATTTAAACTCATGATAAACGATTAAGGACAGCGCTTCACTTACCGCAGATGAACTAATTATTTTTATTTGTTCAAGAGCTTCTGAAAGGCTTCCTTCGATTTCAGCATCCTCTAAGGAGAAAAGATCCCCTGCACGTGAAAGGTCCTTTTGTGCCAAAACCAGCCCAAACAGCTGATGCATGGCTGCGCTCGCTGCCGCTCAGCCAGACCTCGGCACGCACCATGTGCGGGAACGGCTCAGATGAGGACAGAATGGAAACAACCCCGTGGACTAGTGGTCAATTTAATATGATGAATAAATCCGGGGCATATTTCAAGGTTTTCTTGGCGCCAACCTAAAAGGGAAATAAAATTTTTAAAAGGGGGAAATTAGCAAATGTGTTGACTGTCATATTGCAGTGTAGCAAAGATTTTTTAGTGTATACAAGCAGCAGACAGGATCCCCTGATCCAGGGACACCCTTAAGCACACACCACAAACTGCATGTTGAAGGGCCTTTTGCCCTCAAACGCCAAATAGCTTAAAATTAGCTAAAAATGCATTATTTTTAATAAACCCCTTTTTAAAAAAAATTTCAATGCATATCACCTGAGCAGGATGGTGACTGGACTAAGCGATGAGGGCTACAAACCGCCTTCCTGTGGGCAGTAGAGAGCGGAGCTAGAGGAAGTGGGTGAAGCCCATTTGTTTGTTTTCTGGGTTGTTGTGTCTTGATTCCAGAAATACACTATTAGCAAGATTGAGAAGATAATGATTTTTGTTTAGAAAAACAGCCAGTTTTGTTGCCAAAATGATCCCTGCAGTCTTTTCAAGTCATGTGAAAACAAACACTTGGCTGAGCTGAAACTATGCACTTCTTGGCTGGGGAATTTAGCAGGACCTGAGCCAAGTGGGGCCAGGCTGGGCACCATGCACACGCTTGTGAAAGAGGACGGTCCTGCACTTGAGCCTCAAAACTGGTGTTTTAAGCATTTGCAGAGGAGACATTTGCCTTAATTATAGGAGAAGTTTGGTTTTCTCCACATTTCAGAAGTGCCATTTGTTACTCCAAGACTGCCAGGATTTACGGGTTGACATGGAGCTGAGGGATCTGGTGGAGTCAAGAATGGTCCGTGTGAGGTCAGTGGAGGAGCTCCAAGGGCTTTTCTAACCTAGATGAGTCTGTGACTTGCCTTGTGCTGATGGGTCCCCTCTGCTCATACATTTTGAGGTGAGGGTCTTCATGGCCAACCTCAGTGCATGTGAGAAAGGGACCAGCAGCACAGGGTCCTCCAAGCCCTGAACATCCCATGGGGCTTGGACACCTTGGACATTGACAAGGCAGGTACAAATCCATGCAGGTAGAAAATGTCTGTCCTCGAGTCTTCTAAGGCTCTCCATGATGGCCCTAGCAGTAGGAACAGGACAATGGTAGTCCCTCCTCCCTCAGCTCCCTGTTGTACTGCCCTTCTTCCACCCTTTCCCACCAACAACACTCCCGACGACAAAGAAACCCAGCAAGAAACTTCAGGCAGAGCTGCGAGGGAAGTGGGATGGTGGAAGAACCTGCTGTTGGAGACCCTACTGAGAAAGGGATGAACCACACAGAGGACGTGTACCAGCACTCACAGCAGCCACACTGAGCTTCTGCTAGCCAAAGGGGACACAAAGACACATAATGCCATGGCCCTCAGGAAGCTGAGCTGCATGTGAAAGGAGTGGTGACAAACAGGAATGACTCTGTGCCCCGGGAAGCTGCTGCACAGCTCAACAACCTCCCCCCAGCCAAGCTGATGGTCACCTCAAGCTCCCTTTAGCTTTAACTGCATCTGTGTTGGCCATCTTTTAGGACACAAGTGATCATTCTCACTCCTTCAACACCAACATCTTCTACACCATCAGTATTTTCTCAGTGATGAGGCACGTGGAGGTAAACACAGCATCAGAGAAACCACAAAGTAGGCTGTTGGAGAGGCATTTTGATTCACAAAACAGTAACTGAACTGAACATACTGAAATGTAAAGAACATATATATACACATATATTATATGTATACAGATACCTGACTATCTAGCTGACAAACTTATGACATTAAGGTAGGCCTACGCTAAATATGATACTCATTAATTCGAGAGTCTGTGTTAACTTCAGATGTTATGCACTGGAAAAGCAGTTGCTAGAACGGGATCACTCTGCCTTTGTTTGTGCACATCACATAAATGACCTAGTCTGTGTTTCCAAAGAGTATCATTTCCCTGTAGCTTTACATAGAGGAAAGAGAAGTGTCTGAGATTTGATATGTATTAGCTGAAGTGAAATAGAGGAGGAAAGGGAATGTTATGAAAAATAGGCTACTTTAAGCTGGACAGAGTGATGAAGAGGGTGGGTAAAAGCGACAAATCAAGGACTCGGTCATCACCACATTTTCCACGCAGACTCACATTAGATGGACCGGCTATAGCAGCCTATGGCCACGGCCACCCCGATGGCATGTGCCAAGCGGGGCAGGCAGAGAGCTCCTGCCCACCGGAGCCCGTGGTGGCCAGCAGCAACCTCTGCAGATGTGCACCTAACCCAGGTGCAGCTTGACATGAGAACATGTAACAGACCACAAATATTACCTCACAAAACTAAAGCTTTCCCTCTGTGTCCACTTATTTATCTAACACAGAATATTTACTGATTTTCAAGGCTGGGAAGAGCTCTACCAAACACATCTTCCAGGTGTGCCTGTGCGGATTCACAGCCAGCTCCTCTAGGTTCTTCTCTAGAGCTGATAAACAAAGTACTGCACTGTCAAACTAGACCGCTTGTAATTTTTATTTGAGATGCAGAGTATCCTTGATCCCTGTTACTCTATTTTTTTTTTCACCTGAAAAATAACAATCAAATAAGGGGAAAAACCTATGCTGAGAACCTTCTGGAAGACACTCAATGAAACAACCTCTATTTGAATAGCATAAACAGGACCTTGCACTTGTTCTGCCATAAGCCCGTTTGAAAGGGTTTTTTCATTTTCCCAAATCTATTCAATATCATTACACAGGATTTATAGTTTGATTATTTGCAAGAGGACAGAAGCAGAAAAGAGCAAATAAGACTGCAAACCCTGAAGCACGGCAGGCTAGATCCTCCTGACAATTGCTACAGCATGGATCAGCAGGGGATGGTGGAAGTACAGAGACTGGGCCCATCATACTCATAATTTCTCAAATTCAAAAATAAGAGTAAAAACTCAAACTTTTTTTTTTTTTTCTTTTTACCTGTTCATGACTCCAACACGACATCCTCAATGATGGTTACAGGTGTGCAAAGCTTGTGACCTTGGAGACAAAGTCTGACCACCCGCTTTGCGCTCTCCTGCTACCCCGGGCAGCATCCGAGGGCACGGAGAGCCGGGAGCGGGTGGCAGGCAGTGAACCTGAAGCTGTTAATCGCAGTGCCAGGAGTAAGGCATTTCAGGAATGCAGACTAAAGCAGCCTAAAAGTTACCAGCGGCTCGTCAGGTGACTAAAGGAACCTAAATGCAGAGAAGCCTTATCTCTGAATGAAACGCTCTGTTCCTAGGACAAAATACAAAGCCTACTCCACTTGAGGGCGGTTGTTTTTAATAGAGAAAACAGAACTCTCTGTGTTAGTGGAAAGCTATACTTCCCTGGGAAGGAGGTAAAAAGAACCTCAGTAAGCTCACACTGTTGGAAAGAAAAAGAACAAGTGAACAAACTTGCTACAGAAGAGATTTTCTGTCCAGAGGAATAAATGCTATCATTCTGGAACCCTTTACATGAATACAAAAGAGGGTCTGAAGTTCGCTTTGGCTTTTAACATCGCTCTCATAAGTAGCACAAGAAAATCTGCACACATAATGTAGCAAAATGCTCTAGGAATGAAGATCCATTTGAACCCTCCCTTTGATCAGCTGCACTGAAACACTGCAGCCCCTTCTTGGCCTTTCACAAATGATATTCTACTGGCCGTGCTTCTGCAGAAGAGTTTCTCAGAAAGGCCCCATTCTCTACCTGGTGAGCAGACACCTTTTCTGCAAGTTTTACAGACAACACGAAGGACAAGGCAGAAAAGTGTTTACTTAGAGAAGCTCTCCGAAATGGAATTATAGCGAATCTTGTTAATCATTGCATTATGTAACAGCGCTGAAAATACTTGCTTTGCATAGGCCTTCAAGGGAGAGAATTGTCCCTGAAATATCTCCTTGCTCACTACAAGGCTGTACTGATCCTACTAATAGGTAGCTGGCACTGAGGAAAAGGAAAGACATAACACACATCTTCTAAAATATAATGGGTTTTAATTATTTTTTTTTAAAAAAAAAGTATCAGGTTGGACAAAAAAATAGCTTTAAAGTATGATCCTGAGATGTCTCATTGCCCTGACTTTACATCACCTATCAGTGTCTTCTCATTGGGATAGGACAGAGATTACCGTACCTGTCAGATCAGCATCTGGGACAGATCCCACCTATATTTGTGTCCCATGTACAGGAGCAAGAGAAAATAGGCAAAGGGTCTTGCCAAAGTTTGTCCATCCCACATGGCTCCCCAGCGCAGAGTGTCTGGGGGGCTGGCAGCAGGGATTCACACCTTCTCACGGTCAAAAGGTGCGAAACAAAGCGGGGACTCCAGCTCTTGTAATGAGCTTCAACTCATCATTATGCAGGGAAAAAAGGCCTCAGCTTGTAACACAGACAATTTGCACTGGTTCATGGTGGACTACCACACCTAATTCAAAGTTTTGATTCTGATTTTTCAACACTTAGTTTCCCTTTTCATGATGAGCTGAAAGAGCCCTATGTTCCCTGGGACGTGGAAGCTGTTCCCCTCCAAGGTGAGTCTCTTAACTTGCTGGAGGCACAGCATTCTTACCAAAGCTCCTTATCAGAAGCAATCAGAATAAAAGCTAGCCTGACAGGTTTCAGAGCTTGAAGCAATTGAATTGGTCTGTTTGCAAAATAATTCCCCCAATAATAGAAGATTAACAATAAAAATTCTATGTAAAAGGGCAGTTGGACCTAGGGGCATCCAAAAGCCAATTGAACTTCGAGCTAAAAGACTGAGTCTTACAGTTTTATCAGGAACTTGGATTCTGCAGAATGACATTAGAAGGACAAAAAAAAAAAAAAAAAAAAAAAAATATCGATTAAATCAAAGAGGAAGGGGAGAGGATAAAAATTTACAGTGACACAAATTCTACAAGAAGTTAGAATAGTTTCCTTAACTTTCAAAAGACTTGAAATGTTAAGTATGGTTGCTTGATTTTACCAGATGGTGCTATCCCACTGAAAACACAAGTGCAACCTTCACAGACCTGTGCAATAATATAGTTAATCTAGTTCCATGCTAAATAACAGAAGCTGAGAAAACCCTCACTATATTGAAGCAATTTTAGGAGACACAGGCCACCTAGAGTTCATGTTAAGTGAACCTTATAGCATCTGCTAGTTTGCTCCCTGCAAAGCAAAAGGCAATTAAAACCTTACTACAGTGTTGAGCCAACCTGTACATGAACTTAGGTTAAGGCTGCATTTCAGGAGGTGAAGCATGCACAGTGCCAAACCCTGAGCCAACTCACCCCTGCAGCAACATCCCTAACCCGCCAGCACCGGGAAGGGGCCCTGCAGGCTCCCAAAGCCCCCGCCCAGTTGCAGTTGAACACATCAAGAGACAACAGGCCCCCAGTACAAACCATCCCCTTGCTGGAGCATTGCTGAGGACAGAGGATACGCCAAACCCAGCGCACTGCCGGGGTTCCCAGGTGAATCCGAGATCCATTTGGCACTTCCCAAATCCCACTCTCCTCTGTGACACCCGTGGGCACAGCTCCCAGCGGGAGCACTTCCAGCTGGTGCTTTGTGTTGTGTGCTGAAGGACCAAGCTACCACGGCAGCCAAGGCTCTTCGATAAACAAAAGGTAATGCTCATCTTCTGAAGTATCAAAGAAAGAAATCTAAAAGGTGGAAACTGAGCACCCGGTCAAAATAGTAACTTAGGTTTAAGCGTCAAGTAAATTACACAGGAGAGGGAGGTGATCTAATTCTCCTTAAATGGAGGGACTGTGTTAAAGGCCAGAGGTCTTGCTTTACAATGGCCATCTTGGGCAAATCACAGCCCAACGCTTTTGACTATCTATAAAAAGGAAAAAAAAAAAAAAAAAATCAATTACATGTTGCCATGCTTAATACACTGGATTGTATGAAGTGCTTTGGATGCCTTGGATGAAAGACGCTATAGGAAAGCAAAAGCAAAATAGTATTAGTAACTCTTTGCCTTTTCAGCACTCTGTGTGCAGACTATAAAATACAACTGTGTATTTCACCAAGCAGGGTTTCATATTTAGGACACGATCCCATAAAAACCAAACAGGACAGCAGCTCTATTAAACCCTGGGGGAGTTTGTGATGTTATTCACACATTCAACAAAGCGAGGTTTCGATTTCCATTCTCTCTGGGGGTGGGGACAAATGTTTTCAACAAGTGCATATTTAGTTTTATTTTACTTTTCCATCAGTAGGAGAAAGATTGGAATCATCTTAAAAGCAAACTTTTATTCTGTGCAAACGGTAGGATTCCCTTCTCTTAAAAACCTTATCCCTCATCTTACAGGAAAGATCTGGTTTGTGGAATTAGAAAAAGTATGCCTCAAACAGTCACAGACATTTGTAATATCTCCAAGACTGCTGGATACTTCCTTCCCCACATGCACCCATCCAGGAAAAAATGAAAGTCTGGATACATTTCCTGGTTATTTTCAGCCTGAAACTTTCCCAAGAACATTCACATATGCGATTTCTGGACAGAATATTGCAAGATATTTCAGAGAACTTTTCCCCTCTGCGTTACACTAATAATTCAATTTATTTTTTTAATGTTTGAAAAGCATTTACTCACTAAAATAGAGCACTCTTTCAAAACTTTTAAATAAAGTTCTCACATTTTTCAGTGAAAGAAAAGGATTAAAGATTATATTGAAAGAGCATCATTTTCACACAGGGTGAATAGACTACAGCAGTTCCCATGGGATCAGCTGCATATATTTAAACTCTTCCCACAAGACAACCATTGTTTCCTACAAGCCCCTCTTTTTTTTTCTGTCATGACAGGGTTCCACACTTCATGTCGCCTCAAAATCCCATGGATGCTGAGCTGGGCCAGATGATGAAACAATAAATTATGAAGTCTACTAATTAGGCTAGGGTTAAAAAAAAAATGGGGTTTTTTGCTAATGAAACACCTTGCTGCAGTCCTGGGAGCTGTGAACTGACTTGCTCTCAACATCCAGTTCTTATACACAAGGCAGCAGGAGTCCCATCGGAAGCAACTGCAAGATAAGCAGAGGAATTGTACAGTCTCTTTTAAGATCTATCTCCTCTACCAGAGTTGCGGGACTATACAGCTATCCTCAGCTTGAAGTAAGCGCAGTGTTCTTCCTAGATGTATAAACCAGCATGTTAATATTCTCCCCTATGATAAACTGGCTTAATCAGTAGGTTTTATAGGTCAGATGCTACTTAAGGGAACCAGATTTCACAGATCTCCGAGGCAATTTTGGCTGCACAATCCATGTTGAACCCAACTGATCCAGAGTGTAAGAATGTACTTACAAACTTAAGTGCTACTTTTGTAAACAGTTCATAACTTGACCAAATTTTTATGTATATACACACACACACACGATAACCTAAGTCCTGCTGAGACAGTTTTCTACAATTTTCAGTATGTAAGAAATCCCAAAGGTTTCTATTTGACTGCTGTTTCAGAACACACCAATGCTATATATAACACTTCATAACATTTTTTTAACATCACTAAGAGTTGTAAGAATTCCATTTCTACGTATCTCCATGACGTTAAAATATCATGCTAAAACAAACAACACACTGCTAATATGGAATAAATTGCTTCATATAACAAATAGCAACACCCTCCTTGTCCTGGTGATGCTGTCACAACATGGTCATTTTCAGGTGTTGTTTAATGAGCTTTCATATCTGTGACAAACTTTCAAGGCTGTTGTGATGTTACAGAAAAAAGTTGATGTAAAATTTTACGAAATGTATAAATAAGTATTGCTGTCTAGAGAGTGAAAGGCTAAATGGAACAGAGCATGAGAGGCTACAGGTTAGGGTCTCTGAGGTGCCACTCTGGAAGTGAAAATTGGACTAGAGCAATAAATAAATGCAAAGTCACCGTCCCTCAAAGCCTCGGAAAGAGCAGTCACCAAACAATCAGTGACCTCCCTCAGGTTCCTCCCAGGTACCTGGCAATGCCCTCCAGTTTCTCTTCGGCACAGGTTTTAATAAGGCCAACAGCTTGCCCAGCCTGCATTTTCAAAGATCCCCCAACGCAAGGCAATAACGCCACGGCAGCGGGGAGGACAGCGAAACCCCTCCGAGCCCCAGGGTGAGGCCAGAGCACTGCCAGAGCAACGCAGGCACTGCCCACCCCGCGGCACACAGCCTCTGCTTT